TATATATATATATATATTTGTTATAGTTTTTTAATATTTATCGGTCCGGTCCGGTTAAACCGGCGGTTTGCCGCAGGTAATCCGTTAACCGGACAGGTTATTCTAGATTTTTAAAAAAATTAACCACCGGATTTTTTAAGGCTTTTTTAACCGACCATTTAACTGATCCGCGGTCCAGATTGACGGTTTTTTTCGCTTAAAACTGGACCCGAACACCCCTAATATCAACTAAAATCTCACTCTATTAATGACAATAACAAATAGCAAACAATCAAATGAATTCATTAATAATGCAAAATCATAAATATCATCAAATATAATATGAGCTAGTTTTCGACCCTATGCATTTGCACAAATGTAAATAATGTAGTATATGTTATTTATATGCATCTACTATTACAATTATAAGTTAGATAATGATATTACTAGTATGTAACTCGTGCGATGCACGAGCTGTATTTATTTTTGAGAAATATTAAATTTAAAATGTATTAATAAATAAAAGAGTGATAATTAATAGGGAAATTGTCAAATAATATAATGTTCCTCATGAAAAAAAATATATTATTAAAAATATCATTATACACAACAATATTTGTTTGATAACTAAGCAACTTGTCGTCCCCACAAACTAATATTTTCAACTATTTTCTATTACTTACACGCTAAACAAACAACATAATTGTCTGTGACTAAAAATCGATTTGTTTAAGAACATGCCAACATAAAATAAAGGTTGACATTGACTCTTCTTTATCTATTACTTACACGCGTAACAATAACAGATAATTGGTTGTGATCAAAACTGATTTTTTTAAGAACATGCCAATACACGACTTTTATCTATAACGTACACGTGAAACAACAATGTATAATTGGTAATGACTAATAGAACCAATTTCTTTAAGAACATGCCAACGCACATAAAGAATGACCCTGACTCTTAAATGGAACACTAACATTAGAAGGAATTGGTGCTGATGGAGCTTAAATGAAATCCTTCGATGGATCTATTTATAATATGATAATTTACTTAGGCAGCCAGACAAATTAGCTGTTAGTTTATCATTTTAATATCATTATACTTCATTAGCTAAATAAAATTAACTCATGTTTTTATACTTTTTTATACAAAAATATTGACATTGACTGTTAAATGGAACCCTAAACATCAGAAGGAACTGGTGTTGCTGGAACGTAAATAGAAGCCTAAGATGGATCTATTTATAATATGATAACTTATATGGCAGTTCGACAAATGAGTTGTTAGTTTATCATTTAATATCGATTATACTTAATTATCTAAATAATATTCACTAATATTTTTATAGTTTTTTTATCTTGTTTAAAAGAACATTAAATATGTATGTTTAAAATATTAAAACACCTAAATTATATGTACAACATGTCTAAAAAAAAGTTCAACATGCACATATTTATACACAACATGTTTAACTTATATATACAATATGAGTGCGAAATTGAAGCTTGTAAAACAAAGTTTGATTTAATATTATATATAAAAACTGAATAATATACAAAAATGTTTCGAAGTTTTTACAAAAGAGATGGAATTAAAAAAACATACAACGATATGAAAACTAAACGGAAAATAAATCATAGTTTGAAATTTCTTAATCTAGGTGTTATAAGAAATATTTATAATTTAATATATATATATATATATATATATATATATGTAGTTATCATTTCAACGATTAACCTATAATTATATCTATTAATTTATATTTTACAAATCAAATAAAATTATAGATTAGGAAAAAACA